GGGGCTTGAACTTCAGTCCAAATTTGCGGAAACGCTCAAATACCTGGCGCAAATTGTTCAAATGATCTCGTTCTGTTCTCCCTAACACCAGAACATCATCAAGGAAAGCAAGTGCTATCTTCCAATTTAGGCGGTGCAATACCAAATTTATTGCCCTGGCAAATGTGGCGGGGGCATTACACAAGCCAAACCCCATCCGCGTGAACTCAAATAGGCCATACTTAGTTATAAAAGCCGTTTTCTTCCGGTCCTCAGGCTTGAGTTTTATTTGCCAGTAAGCTGCATTGGCATCTAATTTAGAAAAATATTTATTTCCCGCTAGAGTGTCCATACATTCCTCTATTAGCGGCAAAGGATAACTGTCTTTGATGGTAACCTTATTCAGTGCGCGATAGTCAACGCACCATCTCACGCTTCCATCTTTTTTACGGACAAGGACTGGTGCTGAAGCCCAATCAGAAGTAGACGGCTGGATTACTCCAGCTTCCAGCATTTTATCCAAGTGGCCCTCTTCCTCCCCCTGAAAAACAGCAGGAGTTCTGCGCATCCGCTGCTTAATAGGGCGTGCATCACTTGTATCAATGCAATGCTCTATTTCTGAGAAATTACCCAGGTCAAGGTCATTGATAGCAAAAACATCTGAAAATTCAGTGACTAGGTCAACCGCCTCCTTGCGCACTTCTGTTGGCGCATTCTTCTCTAAATCCCTGATTATTGAACTAACATGTTCACAATCCTTTTGCCCCTCTGTTAACACCCGACGCAATGAGGGCTCACCTTCCCTGACTGCATGAGCTGCTGTTGCTTCCCCAACAACACTTCCTGTTTTAATAATATGACTTCTGTCAGTTAGGTTCATGACACACAGCTTACCTACTTTCCCTGAGGCATTATAAGTTCTAGAAGCAACAATGCCAGAGGGGAAAACACTAACTGGTTCAATGATGAAATCTGGCATCTCAGCATCTAGATGGCACTCTATTACTTGGGCAGTGTGTGGAGGAATCCGCACCCGACGGGAAGATATAGCATTGAGCACTTGCCATGGACCCTCAGCAAACATCTTAATTGTACCTGTTATTTCTTTGATTCGCAAGATTCCAGTCTCGCAGGAAATTTGTGCATCATGAGCCCTAAGGAAATCAATTCCTAAAAGCATCTCATCCTGTAATGGGCCTACATAAACCGGATGCTCAAATTCGTATCCACCCATAATAAGCGTTACCTTACCCAAGAACTGGGCATTCATACCAGTTCCTTCACCCGCAAGTCTGATGCTTGATTCCTCTACAACATGCGGCTTTGGTAACATAGAGTCATATACTTTCTGGGAAACAATTGTTATATCTGCGGCTGTGTCAACTGTGGCATTTATTTGTAACCCTGCAATCTCTACTGGAACACGCCATGCACCTGAATTTTCACCTTTATTACCAGACTGCACAGACGGTATCACATGGGCTGCATTGACAGACGGGTTCTCCGCAAATGTCACATTTTTTACAGTAGATGTCGGCACCGACACCTTTGGCTCTGTTTGACCTGTACCCCTATTATTCCCGGATGGAGAAACCGAATTACGAGTCCGTAACCTATTTGGACAGTTTCTCCTTATATGTCCCGACTGCTTACACTCAAAACACACAACTGACCTTGAATTCACCAGGCGGCTGGGACTAGATGACCCTTGTGACCTTGAAAATTGTCTTGGACTGTGACCTCGGCTCTCACTTTGTCTATCATTTAAACCCCGAGACCTTTCACTCGTTCGACCCCTATCAACATATTCAGGTGACCTTTGACTGACAGGTGAGATTGACCTTGAGTAGCAAGTATCAGAGACTGACCTATCATTAGAAGTGGACCTCACCACCTTTTGGCGACGAACAATAGCGCGTCGACTTAATTGGAATGTCTTAACCCTCTTGATTGCTTCCTCTAGAGTACTTGGTGGGTGATTAATGATCTGCTGACCTGCCTCACAATCTCTACATCCTAAAGCAAACCTCATTATTAATTGTTCCTGAAAAATTTCAGGTGAGGTTCCTCCCCCAAAGGCTTTTTGGGCTGTATCCATTACCCTGTCCCCCCATTGTTCTATGGGCTCTTCAGGTCCTTGCATAATAGAATTAAATTCTAACTGGGAGGCTGCCCGCAGGGAAATCTTTCCAAATCTTTCTTCCATACGGAGAATAACTTCTTGGAAAGTAAGCCGGGTACCCCTGCGGCGCAAAATGTCAAAATATTTCAATGCTGAACCCTCCAAGGTAAGACTAAGGGCAAATAAACAATCAGCGTCCCCCCACCCATGATACTCAGCAATTGTCGAGAATTTAGAGTAGAAAGGACCCCACTCTACATCGCCATTGTACTTAACACCCTTTACCTCTGTGGGTATACTCCTACTTACCCCATTTCTACTACCTGGTGGTATAAGGCTTGGTAATGGAGACCTATGTGTACTTGCTAAAGTAGGACTTGGGATACTACCTGACTGCCACATGTGCGACATAATTGGCTGCCTATTCCCCATCGTAATTGGTGGTCCAAAAGGAGTTCCATGATAACCAGGTCCTGTGGCATTTTGCCAAATTTCATTGGAGCAACCTTGGGTCAAGGGCATTTGAACAGGGGCTTCCCCCATACCTCTAGAAACTTGACCCCCTATCTGAGACCTCTGATCAGCATTTCCACTACCAATAAAACCTCCTGATTGTAACGAGTCTGACAATATGGTACTAGGTAACCCAAACCCGAGGCCAGTTGAGCTACAATAACCAGCTGTAAAGTTATGGCTCGGCTCTGTCCCAGACACTTCCGCAATACCCCGTGAGAAGCTGGCATTAACCTGCCCCCCTGCGGAGACAGAGCCAAGGGAGCTGCCCACACCCCCTGGACCCCCAGAGAATGCTACACCCTCACTAAATGTAGAAGACCCATGTACTGTCTGTCCAGGAACCCAAGGACTCCCCTGGCTACTGGAAATAAGTGGCTGACTTGCAGCGAGGCTGACAGTAGATGTCTGACTTTCACAAGTTTTATTGGGACCCAACAGACCGCTCAACATTCTGGTTATTCCCCCCAGCTGGGTACCTACCCCCTGTACTTGCATGGTCATACTCGTCTCAAGAGATCCTATACCATTTTTAAAGGAATCTACCCTCTGCGACACTTCACCCCTTAAAGAGTTTACTTGCCCAGAAACCTCATTTCTTAGATCACCCAGATCATAACCTAAACCATCTACCCTATCCTGTAGATTGTCAAATGCTTCCTCAAGTACTTGTTGTCGTTTCTCAAGTTCGGTTATTAAAAATAACCCTTTTTGACCCTGAAGCTTACCCCCCTCCTGAGTGAGTGACATATCAACTTGCTCATACTGGGTGACATTATAAACAGGGGCACCCTCCCCTCGGGGTGTACTGAACATCTCAGGGTCAAAATGCACCTTGCTAGTATTAGGGACCTTTCCCTTACCAATATTCCCCGAGGTACTTCCCAGGCTACCTTGGCCATTTCCCCCAGGCTGGATATCGGGATATCTTCGGTCCCCTCTACCAACACCTGCAGTTTGCATTTTTTCCATTATAATAAAAATAATACCTCAACACGCACCAAACATTGGAAAAACAACAATCAATTCTGCATATTACAACATGAATGATCCGCGGAACACCGCGAACATAGCATAAATACACATCAATTTTATTCTTTTTCAAAATGGCGCCATCCACGTTGTCGTCACTGTAGAAATAATTTTTCCCCACTCGTAAACACTTACCACCCTGCTCGCAGCGCCATTTATCGTGTTTCCGCTCCGCTATAGAGCCGAGATCGAGGGAAAACGATAGGGTAAACTTACCACTGTTTATTGTATGTAAAAACAGGTAATAATGTAGCAAATAACAGCATACACCATGCACACAGTGACAAATCTGGCGCCCTCTCTCATACACCGGAAAACGTGCTTCTGTTGGGTACCAGTGGGATTCGACCCATAGGCAAATAAGCCCGGTATCGAAAACCACCACACTAGTGAAGAATTCCCCTAATAGTCACAATGATTTATTGCTCAGAAGCAGGCAGTTACAGACCAAATCAGAAGCTTCTATAACGGCACATTCACATGTGTAAGTGTTTATGTTTGATTATTGTTAAATAATTAGAAAACCATTTAATAATCAGCAAGAATTTATTTTCTTGCATTATAAAGCAGTGATAGCATTTTTTTCTAGCCAAAAATCTCAAAATCGACAAAAATCTTGAAAAAAGCCTTTGGTGTATCCTTAAAGGGACTACCTTAAATCTTGAAAAAAGCCTTTGGTGTATCCTTAAAGGGACTACCTTAAATCTGGACATTTTTACGTCGATTTATTTTTGCGAATCTAAGTCAAAAAGCTGTTGATTATTTTTTACGTTTTGCGAATTGTCATTGGCGCTAAAAATAAACATAGGTAATGAAAGATTACGAAGCTCACCTCGACGAATGTTATCAGTTTAAGTAATGCAAATCCTACATCATATTTTCTTAATATTAAGTATTCATCCCAACAACAATATTCTTGCAAGTTGTGCTTAACCCTTTACATGGCATATACACATTTCTATGCGTTTAGTGTGAAAAACATGTATTGTGTAAACAAATATTCATAACTGTTAAAACTGCAGATATCAAAGACTTCAAGTTCATTCGGATTGATCTGTTCCCAAAACTTTAACCTGGTCTCTTGTATGGAAAATATAGGTCAGATCCAGCATCCTAAGCAAGTCTGATAGTGTCCATCCTAAGATGCATCATCCATGCAAGTTTGGTTTAGCTAGGGCTTATAGTTACTTGGGAATGAAAATGTAGGTCAGATCCAGCATCCGAAGCAAGCCTGGTAGTGTCCATCCTAAGATACATCATCCATGCAAGTTTGGTTTAGCTAGGGCTTACAGTTACTTGGGAATGAAAAATGTAGGTCAGATCCAGCATCCGAAGCAAGTCTGGTAGTGTCCATCCCTAGATGCATCATCCATGCAAGTTTGATTCAGGAAGGGCTTATAGTTACTTGGGAATGAAAATGTAGGTCAGATCCAGCATCCGAAGCACGTCTGGTAGTGTCCATCCTTAGATACATCATCCAAGCAAGTTTGGTTCAGGTAGGGCTTATAGTTACTTGGGAATGAAAATGTAGGTCAGATCCAGCATCCGAAGCAAGTCTGGTAGTGTCCCTCCCTAGATACATCATCCATGCAAGTTTGGTCCAGATAGAGCTATAGTTACTTGGGAATGAAAATGTAGGTCAGATCCAGCATCTGAAACTAGTCTGGTAGTGTACATCCCTAGATACATCATCCATGCAAGTTTGCTTCAGGTAGGGTTCATAGTTACATGGGAATGAAAATGTAGGTCAGATCCAGCATCCGAAGCAAGTCTGGTAGTGTCCATCCCTAGATGCATCATCCATGCAAGTTTGGTCCAAATAGGGCTTATAGTTCCTGAGGAATGGACCTGCTCCAAAAACTTTAACCTGGTCACTCATCTAGACAATGTAGATCAGATCCAGCATCCAAAGCAAGTCTGGTAGTGTACATCCCTAGATGCATCATCCATGCAAGTTTGGTTCAGATAGGGCTTATAGTTCCTTGGGAATAGACCTGCTCCAAAAACTTTAACCTGGTCACTCATCTGGAAAATGTAGGTCAGATCCAGCATCCGAAGCAAGTCTGGTAGTGTACATTCATAGATGCATCATCCATGCAAGTTTAGTCTGGGTAGGGCTTATAATTCCTTGGGAATGGACCTGCTCCAAAACTTTAACCTGGTCACTCATCTGGAAAATGTAGGTCGGATCCAGCATCCGAAGCAAGTCTGGTAGTGTACATTCCTAGATGCATCATCCATGCAAGTTTGGTTCAGATAGGGCTAATAGTTACTTGGGAATGGACTTGCTCCTAAAACTTTAACCTGGGACGCCGACGCCAACGCCGGGGGTATAGCATAAGCTCATCTCGACTTCGTCGAGGTGAGCTAAAAAGCACTTTAAATTTTCATAACAGTTTGTTTCACATTAGTAAGCAGAGTTAGAATACCACCAATATACTTTGCAATGTGACAAAAAAAAGTCTGACTCGTTCCGGAACAATTTTTAAGAAGACAAAAGGAACTGCAATGAAAATAACTTCCAAAAATTATAGACCTTTTTGAGATTGTTTATGCCTTTTAACCTAAAATATAAATCCAAATAAAGACGAAGATTTAACTTATTTTCTCACCTCAAATTTACACGCCATGTTTACGTTTGGAACTCTTGATTGTTTGTGGAAAATGCACACGAGTTCGAGTTATCGCCCGTGTTTATTTTGCAAAACTGTGAATACTCGGAACGAATTCTATCGTTAACCAGGTCCGTTGGACAATATAGAGCATTCTATCTAGATTCAGATGTAGATACAATAAATTACACATGTACATACAGAAATATACTAGTAAAACAACACCAACATTCAATTATCAGATGAAATATGAGTAGAGATAAAACATCTAAACTCTTTTTTATTAAATCATGCATTTACATAAAATAAATGAAAACGGTGTCATCTTTAACTTACCTTAAAAATTCAAATTAAAATATTTCCTGGTTAAGATTAAATTAAAATTTTGTTGAAATGGTCCAGTATGGGAACACAAATTTATCAATAAAATTCAAATGAGATTTTCAGCGCGTCTGAAATCCAACCTTTCTTGAAACCGCTGTAAACTTTCTTTTGGTTTCTCTTTAGGTATGATATGGATGAATCAAGCCACTTTGCACTGAGTGGTTTGAGAACGGACATTACAAGATTAATATCCAATTCATAACCAGTTTCGCTGCGACCTTTTCAGCATACCACGTTTCAAACTGTTCACGCATGTGGTCTTTAACAATCTTTTGAACACTCAAGTCCATTGGTTGAAGTTCTGAGGTTATTGCGTTTGCTGAATTTGTTATGTGTATTTAAATTCAAAAACGTTAGAAAAGACACAAATATTATATCAATTAATATGAACTATTCATTTAGAACATAAAATATGAAATATAATATTTTCAGGTTTAAATTTAGATATTTTCCTTTAAAAAATATTGAACAATGTAATAAAAATCCCTATTCACTATAACATTCGTTAAAAATCCTTTCTATAATATTACAATATCATTTAAGTACTTAAAAACTAATAAAAAATACCTTTCAACAATAATAGATTGTCACCCTTAACGGCTGCCGTACCTCTATATCACAAGAACCCGTATGTTATACAAAGGTATCTAGGTAACTAGGTCATAGCAATACCTACATATTTACAATACACAACTTGTATCATTAAAACGGTAATAAAAATACGATAATATTTATTTTAAATACATAACATTACTACAAGAAAACAGTACTCGAGTCAAAGTACAGAATAAATACGAAATTCTTTATACAAATCATGTTCGATCGGGATCGGGATTGCAGTATGAAAACATGTGATTTCCCGGTAAAGTCAAAACATCTTTCTTCACAGTTTTGGATACAAGTTGTAGTTTTCCACAATAATAGACGTAATCTAATAGACGTAATCATATGAATAGAGGTAATTAAGTATGTAAAAATGAATATGATTAACATCGAAATTAATAAATATAATATGCATTTATACAGTAATCATGCATCAATACCAGTTCGAATTTCCTCGACATGTCACAACAAAGTATGAGACAAGAAATATCGCACATTGTAAACATGACAACGCAATTAACATTTCACATTTATCACAGAGGTACAGTTCTGTGGGACGTACACATAAACTAAATCCTGATTTCATTCGATCTCTCAATTCCTCGGAACGTTGTGCACTAAAAATGTCTAAGCTGATCAGAGCCTTTTGGCGCAAAGGAAGTCTAGTTTATCTCTCACTTTGTTTACGTATGGTATGATGATCTTGTCAAGATAACGAAAAGTAATTTCTTTGTTCGTCCAATGATTATCTGTGAGAGTAACGTCCCAGTCTCTAGGAAAATTATATTTTGCATGACAAGCAAATGTTTTCCCTCTATAAATTACTTGCAGTGGCAGAATATCTCCGCTCAAAGCTTTGGCCATAACTCCTGTATTTTTTTTTAAACATGCAGTATTGAGTAAGATGCATTGCTTAAAATAAATTAACCATATTAATTATGATTTAATAATTGTCATTCGTAATTATATAATTATTCTTACCTATGATTTCAAGTTTGTCGTCCAAGCCAACGATGTTTCCTTTGTCACACCCCTTCTCCGCCATTGTCCACCCTCTAATAGGAAATAGCTGAACACCAGTGTGGTCAAAGTTAATTACAAGCTGTGGAGGGATTTCATATTTTGTAACAGGTTCTTCGATTTAACTGAGAAAATTTGATTTGAGTTCCTTTAAGTTCTTGACTTCAGGTTTAGCCGTACTGCTTCCACGTCTTTCATTCATTCTCTTCCAGACCTGCCTACCCTTCCGCTTTTGGCGTAATTCTTCCGCTTTTTACAATACAATTACGCTATTACGCCTTTTATTTAAATTTTACGCTTTTGAACTTTTAAAAAACTTTCTTTAACAACAGCTAACTTTTAAAGCATATATGGCGTAACTGATCAAAAAAATATATTTTTGAAAAATACAAAATTAAGTAAAGAAATACAGTTAACACATTTAAATTAAAGCTTTTCATACAATTCTAAACACGGAGAACACCTCGTTTCATCTAATAATACAATTTTATCTTCTCTGTAATGTGTTATTTAAATCTTTTGTATTTTCTTCCGAGTCGGAGAAAATTCCGAGAATCCAAATCAAATTGTGATATCTTTATAACGCAATTGACTTAGATTGTGTAATTTACGGAAAAGTTCTATCTTTATATAAAGTAATGATTCAAATAATAAGTTCTTATAAGTTTAGTCTAATAATTTTCATTGTACATACGCCATATATGGCTTTAAGATAAAGTACGACCTACTGAAATGAAATGTTAAAAGATAAAAAATACAGTGTAACAGAGAACATGTTTTTCACGATCTATAATCATTCAGGTTGTAGATATATGTACAGATAACATACGTAATATACCTAGTAGTGGCATGCCAAAAAAAAAGAAGGCGCGAAGGCATTACTTACGTTATCTATGAAATGATACGGTTTTGCTTTCGATGTTTAACATGTTCAGACACCACCGACTCACCAGTTCCCATTCTAGATCTACTACGTGCCCTAGTACCCATATACGGACCACTTTGATGTCTTATCTCTGTTTCCACTGCTGCACTGTCCTTGACAGTAGGGTGGTTGCCTGGCAAGTCTGACTCACCTTCATTTTCCAGCTGGTCATCACTGTTTACCTCACCTTGCAACTGTTCTCTGAACTCAACTAACCATTTAGGTAAATTTCGTGCTTCACACTTTTTCAGTTTGTCATGATGCATGATTTTTATCTCACGACGTGCCTTTACAGCATATACAGTGTCAGACTTTAGTTGAACTATAATTCCTGGACCCATCCACATTGACTCGACCTTCTTACCCGCATTGCGGCGCCAATATACAAGGTCACCAACCTTGAACTTACCTGTCCTCATTCTTAGGTCATGTGCCCTTTTCATCGACTTCTGAGCAGATTTTAACTTTTTTCTTGCAAGCTCATGTGCTTTCTGCATATTCTGCTCTAGTTCCCGCACATACTTATCTACCTCACCCTCCTCCCCATTTTGAAAAAATTCAGTAGGAGGTGGGCTGTACATCAAAGTTGCTGGGATGTTTACCTCCCTGCCCAGCATAAGTCTGTTTGGTGTATAACCAGTATGGCGGTTAACTGCTGACCGCAATGCTCCAGCCAAAGTACCTAAATATTGGTCCCAGCTCTTAGGTTGACCATCAACATAACAGCGCACAGCATCCATGAGTGTGCGATTATAACGCTCAACCTGGCCATTTCCAGATGGTCTATATGGTGTCGTGCGAGCTTTGTGTATTCTCAATGTTTCACAAATTCTACAAAACAATTCGCTCTCAAAGTTCCTTCCCTGGTCAGTAAATATTTCATACGGATATCCAAACCGAGCAAAGAAATCATTTATTGCAGCTCTAGCAGTAACTTCCGCTGTCTGCGAAGGCAATGGTACGCACTCCACCCATTTGGTAAAGCTGTCTACTAGCATCAGTATATATTCATTTCCCTGTTCTGTTCGAGGCAAAGGTCCAAGAAAATCGAGATGGACTTTTTCCATTGGACTACCTGCTTGATAGCTCTTTAAAGCAGCTCTGTTTGGTAATGGACCTCTTTTATTTCTACAACAGATGTCGCACGTCAGCACATACTGTTTCATATCTGCGGCCATCCGCCACCAATAGAACTTTGTCTTCAACCTCTCTTTAGAACGTTGAATACCCTGATGTCCCGAAGATGGTATATCGTGGCATAGATATAGAATCTCTTCTCGGTTTACTTTTGGAATCAAAAGTCTTGGAGCATCTTGTTCCATTTCTGGTTTTCGCCAAATCACACCATTCTCATCTAGCAGAAAACAGTCTCGCTCAAGCACATAACACTTTGTCTCCGGGCTGGAAATCATCAATTCCCCCTCGCTTGGCAAAATTCCTGACTTTAAGTAGGCTCTTAGGAATGTCATAGACTCATCTGCTTGCTGTTGTTTAGCCATGTCCTCTGCATTGAAAGAAGACAGTGAAATTCCTTCCCTTTCTGGCTGACTGTCCTTCTCGCATCCTTTTGATATCTGACAAACAGACCTATCTCCATCAGACATGTCTATTTCTAATGATGTTCCCTCATTTTCATTTGAAACTACAAAATGCACTGACGGAAAATCAGAGTTCTTTATGCCATGACTCAAAACGTCTTGAGTCCCAGATGCTAACAACTCCTGTACCTTCAAGTCAAGAGGCTTTACATACCCATTGCTAGATGTACTTAAGCTAGGGCCCTCTTCAAACAATTGTGCTAAGGGTATAACATCATCA